ATACACAAGATTATAGCGGATATTTTAAAGACATTAAAGACTTTATATATCTAAACGGTGAAAAATACAGACCACAAGATATTTCACCCATAAAAGTTTTTAGCTTTGTTACCCTAAAAAATGAAATTCTCGATTTTCTAGGATGGCCCTATTACATCTTAGAAAAATTAACTATCCTATACGCAATGTTTAACTTTATAGGATTTCTTTTTTCACTTTTAAAAGGAATCTATATCACATGCGCTATACACAAACAAGTAAATAGACAAGCAAGTGTAGCACGCATACTATTTGCAGGATTTTTTGGAATTTTTTCATCATCAATAAACAAAATTCTTCTAGACGCACAAATAAAAGAATATAATACAAAAATAGCGACAAGACAGAACACATATGACGAAGAACATAATAACATAGAAGAAACACCTACCGCACCACAGTTGCCACCCCTACCACATAACCATCCATTATCCTTAGTCCCACGTAATTTTCGAAACCTAGCTATAACACATAACCCAAATTTTAGACCAAACATATCGCAAAGTCCCATACAACATATAATGACACATCATTCTTAAGATGATAATTCATACGAACAAATTATAGAACAACCCCATACCACCGCTTTTCAGTCTCAAAATAATAATTTTTTAGCCCACGATGAGCCGAAAACTTGGATCCCTACACAGCTCATATTCCCATCCAACCAACCTCCACACTCCAATCCCAATAATCCCACTTTTTGCTTTCCCACCACCCGACTTTCCAACTATTAATATATCATCAAGCATGAATTCGGATACTAATTCAGATATTTCAGTTTTATACTCCATCTCACAACTTAATAACCCTAATATAGAAATTCCTGACGAATTTGCAGACTCCGAACCATCTCCATCTAATAGTTTTCAAACCAACTCCTCAGTTTTTTCAAAACCCCCTTTTCAACCAATCCCACCAAATAATCCACTCCCATCCGTTTCCACTCCTTTTTATGCTTCGCAAGTAACCCCAACCTATTCTTCATTTCATTCCGACCGATCATCTGATAATTCTCCAGATACCCCCAAATCTCCCAGGAACTCGATAATTTTATCACCCTACAACAACAGCTAATACACCCTAACACCCTCACTATAAATCAAATTTCATCCACAATAGAATCCTATCACCCACCTACTCCTACACCCTCCTCAGCTTACACTTCATCATTAGCACAATCATCCACATCCACCGAATCATCGAATAGCACTCACCGAGCTTATCGCACTTTTAAAAGAAAATTCCCGAACCATCCATTCCCGACCAAACCAGGAACAGCCTGCGAATATATTAATCATCCACACCATACCAACACGAAAGATTTTCTAGCAATCACCTTACCCTCATTCCCACAATATACTTTAAACACACCTAACGACACTAACGACACACGTAGTTTTGTAGATGAACATGTTTTAATGCCCACACTTCACTGAACAGCATATTTTCAATTTACTAATCCCCTTTGCCTGCCACTCTCTAGTACTCATAACGATATAGAAAAGAATAAAGATATGCTATATAGACTCACCGCAACACTAACACCTAGACAATTTACTTATATAGGATATAAAAAATCACTAAAAACATTCACTGCACGCCGAGCTAACGAATTTACAATAGAATATTACGAGCATAATATCATCCGAACTAATCAAGACCAATTTCTAGATGACGACCGCTTCGCTAACCCACAACTAACAAGAAAATTCTTCATCAAAACTTCATATGTATTCACACTTAATATTTTTGATAGAAAATATGATCACATCGTTTCTGAAGCACTAACTGATTTTCAAGCTTGCGAAAGTTTTAAAGAAAAATTTCAGTTATTTTCACTTACCTTTCACTTCCTTGCACCACATGAACGCGATTTGCACTGTTCACACGACATTATGTTACGCACTAAACAGACTCATACATATACATACTATCGCTTCATACAAAATCATTTTGATTTACATACTCCATCAAGACAACCACACCATCGTTTTCAGTTTCTTAACTCGAAGTACACTTCACAATTTTTTCTTAATTTCACCTATTGCATCAAAGATACTAACCTCCACGGCATCCTCCGCAATTATGACCCAGTAACACAAATGTATATATTTTGCCCCATCACGATGACCTTCAACGCCGAAGAATCCAGACCCTTCCTTATCCCACATGAATTTATCCAGCCTATAGAAATCCCAATATTAGAATTTATTCACAATACTAAATATAATCACAAAATATATAACCTCATTCAAAACACACCTTATGAGTTTGCAGTAGGCACCGAAGAACTAAAAACCATTAAAGCACTTCAATTGCTTTGGCCACTGCTCCAAACTAAAAACATCATTCGCATACTAGCAAAATTACTAATAAATTCGAACATAATACACGACATCTTTCCCCACGGCTTTTTCCCAGAGATTAACAGGTAAGTATAATTTAAAAATTTTCTTAACTAATAAATTTAAATTAGTACTAACCATTCTTTATTCATGTTTCTTTTACAGTTTTAGTCTTCATACCACGATCATCTGCAAAAAACAGGAAAAAAAATAAAAAATAAACTTGTTAAAATTCTTCTAAACTTCATTAATATTTTACACAAAATAGTTTGATAAAATTCATACCCAATGTAGTAAATTAATTTATAAATTGTTTTCCCATAAAGCAGTAAATTTATTTACGATGAAAATTTATAACTTTAAATTCCCCCCAAAACTAGCAGTAAAATTGAAATTCTATGTAATAAATTGATAAAATGAAAATGCAGTACTAACCCTTTGATATTTTCATTCACTCGCACAGGAATTTTATCCAAACTCGCTCGCACAGCTCGCCCACGAAGAATTGTTTAAATAATGATTTTAAGTTTCAAGTTTTCACACTCAACAACTCTAACACACGATAACAAGTTTCAAACTTTCCTTTAACCCGGTTGGAAAAGAATTATATACTAAACCAAACTAACCAACGCACCTTACTAAACACCACAAACCATAACATAACAGCATGACTAAGAAAAGAAAACTAACGGTACCCAAACCGGATTAACCCAGTTTAAAACTGGATAATTTATTCTTTTGAAGACTATTATAAAGTCTAAGAAAGAAATAATAAAACACAAAAAACGCGCATACTATTTGCAGGATTTTTTGGAATTTTTTCATCATCAATAAACAAAATTCTTCTAGACGCACAAATAAAAGAATATAATACAAAAATAGCGACAAGACAGAACACATATGACGAAGAACATAATAACATAGAAGTAACACCTACCGCACCACAGTTGCCACCCCTACCACATAACCATCCATTATCCTTAGTCCCACGTAATTTTCGAAACCTAGCTATAACACATAACCCAAATTTTAGACCAAACATATCGCAAAGTCCCATACAACATATAATGACACATCATTCTTAAGATGATAATTCATACGAACAAATTATAGAACAACCCCATACCACCGCTTTTCAGTCTCAAAATAATCAATTTTTTAGCCCACGATGAGCCGAAAACTTGGATCCCTACACCGCTCAAATTCCCATCCAACCAACCTCCACACTCCAATCCCAATAATCCCACTTTTTGCTTTCCCACCACCCGACTTTCCAACTATTAATATATCATCAAGCATGAATTCGGATACTTATTCAGATATTTCAGTTTTATACTCCATCTCACAACTTAATAACCCTAATATAGAAACTCCTGACGAATTTGCAGACTCCGAACCATCTCCATCTAATAGTTTTCAAACCAACTCCTCAGTTTTTTCAAAACCCCCTTTTCAACCAATCCCACCAAATAATCCACTCCCATCCGTTTCCACTCCTTTTTATGCTTCGCAAGTAACCCCAACCTATTCTTCATTTCATTCCGACCGATCATCTAATAATTCTCCAGATACCCCCAAATCTCCCAGGAACTCGATAATTTTATCACCCTACAACAACAGCTAATACACCCTAACACCCTCACTATAAATCAAATTTCATCCACAATAGAATCCTATCACCCACCTACTCCTACACCCTCCTCAGCTTACACTGCATCATTAGCACAATCATCCACATCCACCGAATCATCGAATAGCACTCACCGAGCTTATCGCACTTTTAAAAGAAAATTCCAGAACCATCCATTCCCGACCAAACCAGGAACAGCCTGCGAATATATTAATCATCCACACCATACCAACACGAAAGATTTTCTAGCACTCACCTTACCCTCATTCCCACAATATACTTTAAACACACCTAACGACACTAACGACACACGTAGTTTTGTAGATGAACATGTTTTAATGCCCACACTTCACTGAACAGCATATTACCAATTTACTAATCCCCTTTGCCTGCCACTCTCTAGTACTCATAACGATATAGAAAAGAATAAAGATATGCTATATAGACTCACCGCAACACTAACACCTAGACAATTTACTTATATAGGATATAAAAAATCACTAAAAACATTCACTGCACCCCGAGCTAACGAATTTACAATAGAATATTACGACCATAATATCATCCGAACTAATCAAGACCAATTTCTAGATGACGACCGCTTCGCTAACCCACAACTAACAAAAAAATTCTTCATCAAAACGTCATATGTATTCACACTTAATATTTTTGATAGAAAATATGATCACATCGTTTCTGAAGCACTAACTGATTTTCAAGCTTGCGAAAGTTTTAAAGAAAAATTTCAGTTATTTTCACTAACCTTTCACTTCCTTGCACCACATGAACGCGATTTGCACTGTTCACACGACATTATGTTACGCACTAAACAGACTCATACATATACATACTATCGCTTCATACAAAATCATTTTGATTTACATACTCCATCAAGACAACCACACCATCGTTTTCAGTTTCTTAACTCGAAGTACACTTCACAATTTTTTCTTAATTTCACCTATTGCATCAAAGATACTAACCTCCACGGCATCCTCCGCAATTATGACCCAGTAACACAAATGTATATATTTTGCCCCATCACGATGACCTTCAACGCCGAAGAATCCAGACCCTTCCTTATCCCACATGAATTTATCCAGCCTATAGAAATCCCAATATTAGAATTTATTCACAATACTAAATATAATCACAAAATATATAACCTCATTCAAAACACACCTTATGAGTTTGCAGTAGGCACCGAAGAACTAAAAACCATTAAAGCACTTCAATTGCTTTGGCCACTGCTCCAAACTAACAACATCATTCGCATACTAGCAAAATTACTAACAAATTCGAACATAATACACGACATCTTTCCCCACGGCTTTTTCCCAGAGATTAACAGGTAAGTATAATTTAAAAATATTCTTAACTAATAAATTTAAATTAGTACTAACCATTCTTTATTCATGTTTCTTTTACAGTTTTAGTCTTCATACCACGATCATCTGCAAAAAAACAAAAAAGAAAAATAAAAAATAAACTTGTTAAAATTCTTCTAAACTTCATTAATATTTTACACAAAATAGTTTGATAAAATTCATACCAAATGTAGTAAATTATTTTATAAATTGTTTTCCCATAAAGCAGTAAATTTATTTACGATGAAAATTTATAACTTTAAATTCCCCCCAAAACTAGCAGTAAAATTGAAATTCTATGTAATAAATTGATAAAATGAAAATGCAGTACTAACCCTTTGATATTTTCATTCACTCGCACAGGAATTTTATCCAAACTCGCTCGCACAGCTCGCCCACGAAGAATTGTTTAAATAATGATTTTAAGTTTCAAGTTTTCACACTCAACAACTCTAACACACGATAACAAGTTTCAAACTTTCCTTTAACCCGGTTGGAAAGGAATTATATACTAAACCAAACTAACCAACGCACCTTACTAAACACCACAAACCATAAAATAACAGCATGACTAAGAAAAGAAAACTAACGGTACCCAAACCGGATTAACCCAGTTTAAAACTGGATAATTTATTCTTTTGAAGACTATTATAAAGTCTAAGAAAGAAATAATAAAACACAAAAAAAAGACAAACCCATAACAAAAACAATTTGATTTTTGGAAAAAGGACACAACCAAAGAAACATCCGAAAGACCAACATAAACCCAACATGAAACGTTATCACATAACAGGACCTCTCAAAGAAACCGCGCAAAATCATACTCCCACTCCTGGCCTAACCCACCAGAGAGGACGTCCTGAGCATGCTCTATAGCCGGCCTAACCCACCGCGCTACATCAACGCTTTGTGACCACACTTCTATTTTTAAAAACAAGTACTCAAGGGTGAGTAACTCTTCAAAATAACCGAACTAAAACAAAACGATTTTGTGAAAACAACTAACTAATTTTATGATTAAAAAACCGAACTAATAAAAATTTATAAAATGTAAATCATACCTCGCAGTATATAGATCAACACACAACAACAAAGACGAACATCCAAAGACAAAATGATCCCATCACACTCGAACAAGAATGGCTAACCACAACCGATATGCCGTCCACAATCACAACTCAAAGGATTTAGAGTACGACTTGACCTCGCAGAAAAGGACTTCATTGAACTAGACCAATGACCGCCTCGATGTTCAAGTATACGTACAGATCCGAGTTACGAGGCATCTCTTCCACACACAATATTCACACCATTCCCAGACGAGGTTGAACACAAAACAAGTTCTCTACATAATACAGAAGAACCCGTCATAGCAAACCATTTTGAAATCAGATTGATTTCATTGGGAACACAGTCGTTGTCACAAGACGACACAACGATTGATGTCCCTATTTCCAGTGTCCTGGGACTTCTTTAACAAGAGGAACCGGACAAGAATACGATGTTCGCCAAATACCAACGTTCATCATCCATCCTTTGAATTGCAGAAAGATAGTTCTAAAAAACTCTGTAAAACCCGGATGGGTGGAACCTGATCTAAACTATATTTTATGATTGGATAAATTAGATATTTTACCACTGTAAAGTACTTAATATTAACCAATCATGATCCATCTAATTAACAACCCACTTATTTGTAAGTGCTGAAATTACTTGTAATTTCAGCACCAGAGAGATTTGAATTTAACTTAGAAATTAGTTGTCTCTCCAAGAGAACTTCAGCAGCCGCAACAAACCAGTATACCCTAGATCTATTGAGCCTAGCAGAGACTAGTTAAACACCCTGAGACTAGAAAGTATAAGAGTAAGATTAGGATTGGTATTAGACTAAGAAAATGCACGAATCTATCCGACCGAAAATAAGATAGCGTGACGAGCAGACGGTGTACCCTATCCGAAATTACTCTATGAGTTAACCACATCGGTCCTAACTCACATGACAAAAACTTCAAAATTAAAATGTAATGTTTGGAGATAAAGTCCAGCGTTTGCAGATGCTGGGCATCGATCCCCTTACCTCGCGCATGCTAAGCCCGCGCTCTACCATTTGAGCTACATCCCCTTATTCTATCTGAGTCAGCAATTGTCAATGATTAGACGAAGTGTTTTTCTTATTTTTGTTACAAAGTAAAAGGCAGCAAAAACATGCAGCTTCACGTTGGCTTTAAACCTGATTTTTGATTTTTTGGGTCCATTGTTTACTTGATTCACTGCCGGAGGAGTACAAGTGTGATAGAGGGGTCCCAAGAAACTAATCGTGTCCCTAATGTAAAAGGAGTGCCTCAAAGTTGTTCAATTTAGTGCCTTCGATGATGACAATAAAAGTATCGCAAAAAAATCAACAAATGAGACAGAAAGTTTTGAAACGAACGAGCGGGGCTCTTTTCAAGTTTACCGCCCCCCTCGTAAATTTACAAAACAAAGCTGTTCAAAAATTATTCACACGACTATTTTTTTCATGTAAGAGATGTAAAAATTTGTTCACGCTGACATGTTTAGATGCAATTCATAACATAAAAACTAATTTTAAATTGACTGCCATATAATGAATTTCAGCAAAAAATCAAAGGGGGGACTGGAAAAGAGCCAGGTTCGGCGCACAATGATTAGTTAATTGCTGTTTTATCTTCAAATAAGGCAATTCGTGACCCCTCTCTCATACTTTGTTTTAGTTGAGACCCCTCTATCACACTTATACCGACCGAAAAGATATATCTAATTTGCAGAAAAAATTGACGCATGGCGTCAAAATCTACCCGAATAAATTGGCGAGATGTTCACTTAACCTGACTTGTTTTGATTCGAGCATAACCATTTGCATGTTATTAGCTGTCGTCTGGTCTATCGAGGACGAAGCAGGCTGAGCGGCCATGCTTGTAGAGATAGTAGCATCAAAGGGGTGGTTTTGATGCATCATAGGAGCGTGCGGGTTCTGTGTGTAGATCAGCGGCTGCTTCATCATTTAATGTTGCAGTTGAGGTTGATATGGATTAGGAGCATTGTATGGAGAAAACTTCGGAGCTTGTGATGCTTGTGCATTCATGCTTGGGTTGTAAAGAGCTAACTGATTGCTGGTAGCTTTACTCATAGCTGAAAAACGTCAGAAAGTGTTTTCTTTTAGATTTTGAATTGAGTTGCATAAATTTCAACTATCAAGTACTCCAGAGATCTTTCATTAAATCGACCCAAGCTTCGTTTTGAAACACTTTAAACATTTTCAAGTAACAACAAAGACAGCTGGTTGCTGTGCAACTAACAAAGAATGTTCCAACCACATTCACAAAAGATAGCCAACAGACAGAAGGAAAAGAGTCAATGAACGCGAATACACTTATAAAAAAGACCGACTTAATTTTTGAAAAAAAAATAACAATTTTCGAATTTCTAAGAAAAAAATAGATAACCTTAATGCTATTTGAGGTATCTTTTTGAAAAAAAATATCATTTTTCGAATTTCTAAGAAAAAAAGTGATAACCTTAATGCTCTTTGAGAAAAATTGAGGGAAAATTGGATCAATACATACATTATTATATTTCGCTGGGAAACCTGATAATTAATCGAGAATGATGTTGCTCTGCTCGAGGTACTTCTGGTTCTGAGCCAGCAGACTGGCTTTCTTCTCCGTCAGGCAGTCCACCGTCGCCATCGCCTCATCCGATTCTTTCTTCAGACGCTCATTCTCCTTAAAAACAGCCCAGGAAAATAATGGATAAAACTGAAACGTGTGACTTGAATTTTAATCTATACCAAAAAACTATGATTATAATCAGGGTTGAATCTAGGATTTTCTCGAGGGTGGGGCGGACGACCTCAAAAATTTTGACGACCTTTATTTAAGGTCGACCAAATTGATTTTCCGAGCTCTCTTAAAGCACTAAAAAGACGCTGTTTTGGTCAAATTTTCTGCGCCAAATTTTTCCAGTCCCCCCTTTTGAATTTCAATTTTGAAAAGTCTATTTAACGTTGTCATAAGGCAATTAAATTTTGCGTGATGAACAAATCGACAATTCTGAACAGATTTGTTCTTTTTTTTTATTTGCCCCCGGGCTGCTCAGTGCAGGACCAACCGTGGGGGAGGGGGAGATGTCATCCATTTTTCCGCAGCCGGTCCCACCTTGAGGAGGCGGATGACACTAGGACCCCTCCAGCCGTGACCGAAGCTGTGCCTAACCCACTTGACCACGACTGCCCAGATTTGTTCTTCATACTAAACAGCGTAACATCACGCATTTAGCCATAATAACACGTAAACAAACAGAATACTTGGTTTTTTGAAAGGGAGGAACTGAAAAAGAGCTTCGGAGAGCTGGGAAAATCAAATTTATCAACCTAAAAAAAGTTCACAAAACTTTTTTTGACATAGAAAAAAAAGTCCACAAAAGATCAACCTTAAACAAGGTCCACAAAAAAGGTCCAACTAAAAAAAACGTCCACAAAAAAGGTCCCGGTGATTAAACCAAACTCCTTGTAAACACCCCTGTAAACCAGGTCTTGCAACTGATTCCAAAATACAAGATACCTGCACTACTCGGTGTATGTTCTGCATGAGAACTGTCGCTTTCATAGACACTTGGCTGTTTCCAGTTCCAAACGGGGTGTCTCTGGATGCGAGCACCTCTACCTTTTGCTGCACCTGGTCTAGCTTGGAGGACACCTGCATCACTTGACTACGCAAGTCATTGTGAACCTATAAAAAACAAACAGACTTTGTCTCCAAATTGAGGTTTCAGAAAAACACCATGAGGTACAAGTATGACAGTTGGATCATTTAAAAATTATGATGTATCCGCAAAAAAAAAATAATGGGCTTCAAAACATTTGACAACATGTTCGCCAATTTTGTTTGCGGTCCCCTCATAAAAAGGGAGGAAGTCATCATTCATTTTTGATTTTTCTAAGGACCCAACAATCATAATTTAACCCACCAAACCTCCCTTTCGTGATCTCAAGACCAAGTAAATATTCTCCCCTAAAAGGATGGGGGACTTACCTTGTTCTATCTGCGTTACATTATGGAAGGGCTATCTTTGATAATTGAATAAGAGTTAGTCGAACCATTTTGTCTAATTATTTTCAAATTGTCGCTTTGAAAGGAAAAAAGGGATGTAGCGCAAATAGTAGAGCGCGAGCTTAAAATGCGCGAGGTACGTGGATCGATGCCTCGCATCTCCAATCGGTTAAATTTTCCTACAAACTTTTTACACCAATTTATTTCAAATTAGGTCTCATAAAATTTTCTGGGCTCGGCTCTTTTTCTTTTTCCCCCCAAATTTTTCTAGTGAAGTTTTGTTCACTTTATCCGAATGTTACAAAAATTGGCATGCGAACTCATTAGGCCATGACAAACTTTTTTGGTCTTCATAGTTAGTCTTGTAAAATCCCTCGTTACACCATAAAATTGACGCTTATGTGAGGTGGGGGGGGGGAAGGAAAAAGAGCCCTGGGCTCTTTTCCTTCCCCATCCCCCCGCCTGCGAGTTTTGTCTTGTAAATATTATGTTCACAATGTCTGATGATCATTACAAAAATTGGTATGCAGACTAATTAGGCCACGAAAAACACTGCAACCTTGTAAAACCTCTCGTACACCATAAAACTGATGCTTATTTGAGGTAGGGGTGGGGGAGGGAAAAAGCAAATTTCTGCTCATGACAAAAACTTCAAAATTAAAATGTAATGTTTGGAGATAAAGTCCAGCGTTTGCAGATGCTGGGCATCGATCCCCGTACCTCGCGTATGCTAAGCGCGCGCTCTACCATTTGAGCTACATCCCCTTATGCTATCTGAGTCAGCAATTGTCAATGACTGGACGAAGTGTTTTTCTTATTTTTGTTACAAAGTAAAAGGCAGCAAAAACATGCAGCTTCACGTTGGCTTTAAACCTGATTTTTGATTTTTTGGGTCCATTGTTTACTTGATTCACTGCCGGAGGAGTACAAGTGTGATAGAGGGGTCCCAAGAAACTAATCGGGTCCCTAATGTAAAAAAGAGTGCCTCAAAGTTGTTGAATTTAGTGCCTTCGATGATGACAATAAAAGTATCGCAAAAGTATCCACAAATGAGGCAGAAAGTTTTTAAACAAACGATCGGGGCTCTTTTCCAGTTTCCCACCCCCCTCGTAAATTTACAAATCAAAGCTGTTCAAAAATTATTCACACGGCTTTTTTTCATGTAAGAGATGTAAAAATTTGTTCATCTGTTCTTGCTGACACGTTGAGATGCAATTCATAACATAAAAATTAATTTTACATTGACTGCCATTTAATAAATTTCAGCAAAAAATCAAAGGGGGGACCAGAAAAGAGCCAGGACCGGCGCACAATGATTAGTTTATTGCTGTTTTAGCTTCAAATAATGCAATTCGTGACCCATCTCTCGTACTTTGTTTTAGTTGAGACCCCTCTATCACACTTGTACCGACCGAAAAGATATATCTAATTTGCAGTAAAAATTTACGCATGGCGTCAAAATCTACCGAATAAATTGGCGAGATGTTCATTAACCTGACTTGTTTTGATTCGAGCATAACCATTTGCATGTTATTAGCTGTCGTCTGGTCTATCGAGGACGAAGCAGGCTGAGCGGCCATGCTTGTTGTGATAGTAGCACCAAAGGGGTGGTTATGTGAGTAGATCAGCGGCTGCTTCATCATAGCATGTTGCGGCTGAGGTTGATATGGATTAGGAGCATTGTATGGAGAAAATTTCGGAGCTTGTGATGCTTGTGCATTCATGCTTGGGTTGTAAAAAGCTAACTGATTGCTGGTAGCTTTACTCATAGCTGAAAAACGTCAGAAAGTGTTTTCTTTTAGATTTTGAATTGAGTTGCATAAATTTCAACTATCAAGTACTCCAGAGATCTTTCATTAAATCGACCCAAGCTTCGTTTTGAAACACTTTAAACATTTTCAAGTAACAACAAAGACAGCTGGTTGCTGTGCAACTAACAAAGAATGTTCCAACCACATTCACAAAAGATAGCCAACAGACAGAAGGAATAGAGTCAATGAACGCGAATACACTTATAAAAAAGACCGACTTAATTTTTGAAAAAAAAAATAACAATTTTCGAATTTCTAAGAAAAAAATAGATAACCTTAATGCTATTTGAGGTATCTTTTTGAAAAAAATATCATTTTTCGAATTTCTAAGAAAAAAAGTGATAACCTTAATGCTCTTTGAGAAAAATTGAGGGAAAATTGGATCAATACATACATTATTATATTTCGCTGGGAAACCTGATAATTAATCGAGAAAGATGTTGCTCTGCTCGAGGTACTTCTGGTTCTGAGCCAGCAGACTGGCTTTCTTCTCCGTCAGGCAGTCCACCGTCGCCATCGCCTCATCCGATTCTTTCTTCAGACGCTCATTCTCCTTAAAAACAGCCCAGGAAAATAATGGATAAAACTGAAACGTGTGACTTGAATTTTAATCTATACCAAAAAACTATGATTATAATCAGGGTTGGATCTAGGATTTTCTCGAGGGTGGGGCGGACGACCTCGAAAATTTTGACGACCTTTATTTAAGGTCGACCAAATTGATTTTCCGAGCTCTCTTAAAGCACTAAAAAGGCGCTGTTTTGGTCAAATTTTCTGCGCCAAATTTTTCCAGTCCCTCCTTTTGAATTTCAATTTTGAAAAGTCTATTTAACGTTGTCATAAGGCAATTAAATTTTGCGTGATGAACAAATCGACAATTCTGAACAGATTTGTTCTTTTTTTTTATTTGCCCCCGGGCTGCTCAGTGCAGGACCAACCGTGGGGGAGGGGGAGATGTCATCCATTTTTCCGCAGCCGGTCCCACCTTGAGGAGGCGGATGACACTAGGACCCCTCCAGCCGTGACCGAAGCTGTGCCTAACCCACTTGACCACGACTGCCCAGATTTGTTCTTCATACTAAACAGCGTAACATCACGCATTTAGCCATAATAACACGTAAACAAACAGAATACTTGGT